CCTACTTAAAAACGCACCAAAAGCTTGGAAAGCGGATATCTGGGCACATTTCGGATTTTACGAAGTCAATGGGATTTTGATGCATCACAATGCATCGCAATGCATCGTAGAATCGAATTGAATCGAATCGTTACCTGGTGAATCGTAATCGAATTGAATCATGAGGGCAGTGCCAATGCACACCCCTAATATATATATATATATATATATATATAATTGTAATAATAAATAAACAAAACAACAACCCTATCTTTTTTTAGGGCTATTTTTAAACATTTCTTTAAATGAAAATAATCAAACAAAACTTTAAAATAAGGCCAGTAAATAAGAATTTCCATTATTATTTTATTTTATCTCTTTGGAATATAAGTTCTAGCATTTCTTTTTCTGAAATTCTAGATCCTCTTAATTTTTTTTTATCACTTGTGTATTTTCTGTATGTTGTTACAAACCTATACCTGAAAAAAACAATAATTTTTATCTTATTCTTCTAATTTCTTTCATATGCCATATAATGGCACCCTTGCCTATGGCTATAGCCTTGTTATTATAATATTTAAAATGTAGATCAAGCCTTGGAAATGCACTATAACACAAGAAAAGGCTACAGGAACCTTTATATTTTTTTTTAACCTGCATTTTGGTAAAGTCCAATCTGCTCCCTTTAGATGAATCAGCTTGATAAATATTAAATGATCATCTTTTGCATTTACTTTCAATTTATAAATAAATAGGCAATAGATTCCACCAGTATTTTTGACAGATCTTTGTGATTTATTCATCATACCCTTTAGAACTACATTACCAAAAAAAAAAAAAAAAAAAAAAAAAAACATAAAATGTGTAAGTAATGATATTCTAGGTTAAAAATAATTTTGAAATGGCCATATATATTTAAATTTCAGATAATGCATATGTAGCACTTCTATTTCAAAATGATAAACTCCTGCTTCAGTGAGGATTTACTATGATCTCTGGGACAGCCTATTCTTATTACTGTTTGAAAAAGAACAACAAAAACATGGACCATCTATTTTAGAGAGAGGCTGTTATATTACCTTTTGCTTAAAAATGTATTTACCATCTGTCTTGTGCGGGAAAGATTTACTCTGTTATAGCTTTACTAAAATGTTTAGCAATTTGTTCAGCTGTAGACAGCAGAGCAGTCAAATTCATGTTGGAGTGATTCAAAACTTATGTGTCTGCTTATGCATTAGATGCATTCAGTTGAGCTGATAATCATCATTTCATTTATGACAAAATGTCCTATCTGACAAACAAGTCCCATTACTGACCTATGATTTCCTTATTCTTAGGAAAGAGACAATCAGCACTATCACTACCTGCCTGATAAACATATCGGCTATAAAGTCGTTTGCAGCTGTTGGAGAAAAAGGCGTGGGCTGAAGAAATTAGTTGGAAGAACGTGAGCACTGCAAAGGCAGTAATGACATAACAGCATCATGTTGGTACTATTGTACATTGACCAGAGAGTTAGTTATAAAATGAAGAGGGTGTTATGTGTCGTATTCAGAGAGACATAGAAATGTTCAGTTTAAGCAATTAAAAATCATAAACATTATTATCCTCAGTGTTAACATATTTAGCCAGATATTTAGGGTTCAAAACAGTAAGATAAAATCTACTTTTAATTTGAACTTATGAAGGATTTTAATCCACTAAGTGGAAGCATAGAGAGAGTCTGAGCGCTTGTAGAAATTCCAAACCCTCTTTCCATGAGATGTTTTTACTCATTAACACCTGAAAAAACACAGAGTTAGGAATGTGGATTTAAAAAGTGGCAGCACTCATGGACTTTGAGCACACATAATGAAAACACCCAGTTGAATTCGATTAATGAGGTAGCACAAGCATACATCCTGAGGCAATTAACAACCATATTTTTTTGTCCTTCACTGGTTAAATATTACAAGCTTCCCCCCAGATATACATTTTTGTCATGTTGTTCATTTTTTCATGATGACTTAATGCAGCATCTGACAATAAATACAAAATTGTATGTAAACTTGAGAAGAAAAAAATTTTTTTATGTTTTCAGTTATAAGAGATTAGGCTTTGTAGTTAGAATGAGCCACTACCAAATGCACTTGTGCATTATCACAATAACAATCTTAACTTTAAAGAAAATCTTTACTTGTATTTTCTGTGCTCCGTTCGGGTAAAAAGAAGCCAAACTAAACCTACACATATAGGCTGTCCTGAACCACAGCGCTACTTTCCTCTTTTACAAAAAAAAAACAAGAAGCACACAAAGATGAATATCTCCAGTTCATCAAGGAATATCTACACGTATGATATGTAGAAGTCAAGATAAACATTTGAGTATTTAGATGTAATCTGTTATTGCTTTACTGCAGGTGACAAATACCAAAAATAAAAAATAAGAAAAATACACTGTATTCTGAGTGTGATCAGATTACACAATACATGAAGACTGATACGTTACCATATGTCATGTAAGTGCTACTGGTTTGGTCCTAATTTAAATCCTCGTAAAACCCTTTGACTTAAATAGAAAGTACAGCATCCAGGTTTGCTTAATGTCGATGGGGTTTGTCTAACCGAAGTATCCGTGAAAGAACACGGCCACACAGAGGAGAATGATGGCGTTTGCATTGACAATGTTCTTCCAGAGAGGTTTCTCTGATGTATCTGTGAGCTGTCTCTTCAGCTCTGCTTCCTCTTCTGGAGTCAGTTTTGGTGCTTTTTTGTCCTCCAGGCCACAGAAGCACATGAGTGCTTTCTTGCAGAAGCCAGGTTTCTTCTCTGATCCTGTAGAACAGGCAACAAAAACAAAAATTGTAAAATGTTTTTTTTTTAAAAGCAACATAAAACAAAAAATACATGGGAAACATCTTAAAATACTTTCTCTACAAATATAAATGTACAATTAAAATCATTATATCAAAGGTAAAGTCTGTGTGTGTTTTGGATACCTTCACTATCTGAATCACTGTCTTGATCATCGGCCCAATCCTCGTCTTTGTCAATATCCTCTCTTTCTTCTGTACGGTTCCTCAGACTCCAGCACAATCTATACAGCTGGTAAAATCACACAAAATATTAATTACATATTATTACAACAACCAAAATCATGTATTTGATTGGTTTTGCATAAACTGAATATCTTTGCATTTTTTAAATAATAACAGATTCCAGTACTATAACATATTTAGCATACAGCAGACCCATAAAAAAGTATTCATGCGCTTTCAGATTTCACCCTTTTAGGCTTCTTAAAGGTTTGAATGTTTAACTGTTTTTGGCCTGTCATGTCGATGGTAAAACTTTACACACAAAAAGAATTTCAGAAAATAAACATCATAAAAACATTACATTAACTTGGAGGTAATAAGACACTAACTGGGTGTTTTTCTTCAAAGAAAATTGGAAAACTAACTCAAAGCCAAGCAGGCTTAAAAAATAAAATGAAACCATTTCTACATGTAGCATATGCTGTTACACAGCATCTATTACAAAGTATTACATCTCAATTTTTGTCTAGAGAAAATATGAAAGGCATAAGGCAAAAAAAAAAAATAAAAATAAAAAATTAGGGCCAGTAATTATCCCAAGCATGCTTCTTGGTAACAACTTATTTTGCGTCAAATGAAGGTTTTTAAAACACTTTCTGTCGGATTTGAAATCCATGGTCTAAGCCACTTGCCCAGAAAAAGCACAGTTTTGAAATGTGCAAAAATTTAATTGCAATAAAAAAAGAAGAAAAAAAAAACTGCTGAAATTTTATGTCATCAAGCTTTTTACACTTTCCAGAGCGCGTGTGACAATACCCATAAGTTTAAGGTGATCCAGAGGAAAGCCAAAACCTATCTTAATTTTTTCCAGGAAGCTCATGCTCCATTTACAGTATACTGATCGAAGTATGCAGTTGAGAATTTTTCTGTTAATGATTTCTAAATTCGAAAGTTGAAGATTAAGCTTGCCATATCTCATAGCTTTTACGTACATGCTTGTCATCAATGGGCTTAGTGACTAGGGAGATTCCGACTATGAGGATGCAGGAAATAAGAAACAGGATCATCCCGAAGTAGAGGTAGTGTATTCCACAGATGATATAGGGACAATTGCTTGGAGTAACACAGCTCCCTGTCCCGAAGGCAAACTCTGCAATCATCCTCGATAGTCCTATTACGAGTCCGATCATGAGTCCAAAAAAGGCACCCTGGTGAAAAAAGGAAAGGAGAAAGAAATAAAGAAATTAAGGTGGAGATACTCAACTGCAATAAAAAGCTACCTTTGGAAGTTTTTCTTTTAAATGTATTCAATAATTTCATTTGAGAATGATGCTAAAGCTATAAACTAGGCTTGATGAAGAATCCACAACATAAAAAGATGAAATTGCTCATTTAATGCAATCAATGCAGCAGTATTCTTTGGTTATTCTAACAGTACCTAAAACCATTTTTGTTCATGACTAAAAACAGTTGTGTTTTTTGGAAGACAGTATCCACAAAGTATGTTTGGTTTCCAAAAATGGCCAATTTAGCAAAACATTTAAGTAAATTGTCATCATACTTATAATAGCGATGATGAGTGCTTTCAGACGTTGTTACATTAACTCCTTTTACTGTTTCTTTCACTTACTGTATATAAATAATTCCTATCAGTGCCCCCAGAAGCTGCTTTTGAATTTTTCAGAATGCATTTATTATTTATGTAATTTGAAATGATTTTAAAAGTTGATTTTATTGCACAACAGCTAACTTTAATGAGTTTTAACTGAATTCCTCTGCTTTGGAAATGTATTCTGTTGTATTGAAATGTTGGTTTGTCTATTTTCACTTTCTGATTAATACTTCTGTTTCACTTCTAAAACTGTCTGAAAAAGGTTATTTTAAAATCTTACATAATTTTGAGCTGAATCAGCCTGTTAGATGTCATTAACCCTGTAAGTCATCATATGAAATAAATTGATGGCCAAGCACAGAACACCTGCGTGACAGAGGCAAATTATTCTGATGTAGCATTACTGTTGCTGTTAGATGGTATTTTATAATATTTGAAATTAGTAAATCAGAGAATTAGTTCCTGGCCAGAAGAGTATGTCAAAGAATCTTGGTTTTACTGCTTAACTTCGGTCTCCTAAAGCAATGTGCAGTCACTAAAACCACAAATACTGACCTAGTGTCCGCTAAAGTAGACATATAAAAGGGCTTTTTTTATCAAAACTGAAATCATTAAACTTCTTTTAAGAAGTCAAATTAGTGTCGTTGAGGGTTTAATCAACTAGAATATATATAGTTATCCTGGAAAAAATGGCAAAAAATGTAAATTATTGGACAAACAACTCCTTTTTTTCAAAAAATGTGCCTATAGGTCAGTCTGCCATTTTGATCAAGGAAAAAAAAGGGGTTTCCAGCACGTTAACCTATAACATAAGATATCACTGGAAAGGCTGGATGTCCTCTAAGGGGACAATAAGGCTTGATAAGTTAATCCCTAATAGTAAAAGAAGAATAAGGTGAACAAAATATGCCCTATAATGGACACAAACAATTGTTCTGGGTCTTAGGAGGTTAATGTCACTTGACATTGCTGATATCTTTGGCTGATTTAATTTTCATGGTAGCTGTAGCAGCCCCTTGTGAAGAGTAGTATGGTCCTAACAGTCGATTAATTCCTGTAATGGCTTAATTTTTTTTTTTTTAGCAGATTACTTTTGCTAACCTTCCATTTATTTGAGTTATGTTTTATTTTCCCCTCTGCTATGTGCACCGATTATTTGTATTTATTGATTTACTTAAAGCCAGTTTCACCTAAATACAAAATCCGGCAAGAAACCGTGGTCTTAAATACCCATATTTCAGCAAACTGTAACATCGATGCCTTGTTTTATTGGTTATTGTTTTCAGTTTTATGGTTTTGTTTACTATTTCCATAATTTAGTTGCAATCCCCACTCATTGTAGAAGTATGCCAAGAGCCTTGTGGAGTAGGTTATTGACTAAAGTGTTTGAAGAGGAAATTTAAGTATTTTGTTTCTGAATAAATTGTGGCATTTTTGAGAGAACTTGTTTCTTTTTATACTGGCAACATTGGCTATTTAAGAGTACATGTGTTCAAATTACGCAAATTATCTATTCTTACACAATACCAAACCTCTCCAGGCAGTTATTTATCAATAAATAAGTAAAACAGCTTAAAGTAGGTTGGCCATCAATTCTGGGTAATCAGAGGATGCACCAAATTATCAGTTTTGTTAATCAAAGCTTATTACAGTAATAGCTAATCATAGCCAAACCCCAACTTCTGTAGCACAACAGTTGCTAAAGTTAAGAACTTTTTTTTTTCTTAATAAGAAAAACTAAAAGGAATCTTACTGGTTCGTTAACTCTTTTGTAAAATATGGCAAGCATGAAGACGGCTGCCACAGGTGGAGTGAGATAGCTGGTGATTGACTGGATGTAGTCAAAGAGCTGACCACTCTGGGCTGCCTGTACAACAGGAATCCAGGCGATGCTTATACCAATTAGGATCAGGATAAACACCCTGCAAAGTTAACATAAACAAAGTATTAGGTAAAAGTTAGGGAATCCAAACAGTTATGTTAACCAAAGCTAAACCTATGTTACCTGCCAGCAATCATCAGTTCCTTTTCTTTGGCACGGGGGCGGATCTTAGTGTAGATGTCCATGGTGAACAGAGTACTAGCACTGTTAAATATTGAGGTGAGGGAGCTCATTAGAGAGGCTAACATCACCGATAGCATCAAACCCCTCAGACCTAAAAGGCAGATAAAAATAAAGAAAAGGGTTGAAGAAGATAAAGTTTTGATTTAAATAAGACAATACTGTCAATGCACTCACCATTTGGCATAAGCTCCACCACCAGTTTGGGATAGGCAATGTTGCTGCATCCCACTTTAGCTTCACATTCTTGTTCACATATTTCTGGTACCACACATGCCACCACATCTGGATTTTGTTAAAAGTATAAAAGAAAATAGCAGTGTCAAATGAGTACTTTAAGCTTTACATGTATTTTATGCCAGTCCTCACAAGACAAAAGACTTGAAACACGCACCAGTGTATAAGATCCTGCTTATCATTCCGGGAAAAACCATGAGAAACATGGGCAACAGCTTCAGGTAGCCACACAAAATGCAACCTCCTTTGACGTGAGAGAGATTCTTAGCTGAGAGGCAACGCTGAACAATCACCTATAAAAAAGATTGAGCATTGAAGGTAAGCATAGGTATTTAGTGTCTCTAAAAAGCCATCTAGAAGCATTAATGCTAGGGTAATGCTAATGTGATACAAATAAATCATTGCACAGTAAAAGTAAAGTATTAAAAGTACTGCAAAAACAAAAATTAGGCTTGCAAAAACTAAAATGAAGTAAGCAAAACCCATGCAAAGAAATAATGTAAGAAAGAGAAATTTTCCAGTTACATCAAGTTAATCAAGTTCAAACATGCTGCAAACAAAAAAACATAAATGGAGCTGACGCAAAAAACACATGTGAATGGAAATGTTGCAAACAGCAAAACGAGCTGCAGACATCACCATATCACACAGATCTATGTACTGCTATGCATTGATGTTTATGGACCAAATCCACTAGAAAAACCTAATGGTATTTCCACCCAGACTATATTTCAAGGGAGGAAAGAAAAATCTTCCCCTAGTGGTCTGAATCACTTTCATTGTGCAAAGCTAGTTTTTCAGCTTTTCTTGGCTTTTATAGTTTTTTGCTATTTGCATGATTTTTGTGGGGGGGGTTTTATTTGTGTGTCAGCATCATTTATATGTTTGCTATGGGTTTTGTGTTTGCACTATGTTTGCACTTGGCTTTTTCTTTTGCAACATTTATCTTTTATATTTGTTTTGAGTGTAAATCTAATTTTTGTATTTGCAACTTTTACCTCTGCATTACTCATTGCATGTGTTTACCATGCATGTGTTGATTTTGCATCCTCTAGGGCAGGCATCCCCAAAGTCGGTCCTTGAGGGCCGCAGTCCTGCAGGTTTTAAAGATTTCTCTGCTTCAGCACAGCTGATTCTGATGATTGCAGTTCAGCAAAAGCCTGTTATTCAGTTATCAATGTAAATCAGCTGTGCTGGAGCAGGGAAACCTCGAGGACCGTCTTTGGGGATGCATCCTCTAGGGGTTTTAAAAGGAAGAAAAATCTTGTTAAAAATATATTGTTAATATGTTGTTAATTATTTTAAATGAACGTAATCAGTTTATTTAAAGCTTATTACCCAACAAAATAACAAAACATTTGAATAAATCAAAATCAACTGTAGTGAATATGCCTGTTGATGAATAAACATTAAAAATGTACTTCAGGCAAATGGTGCTTTAAGGATAAATAATTTGAATTGAGCCAAAGAATAATAAATGCCATATTTTAAAACAAAACCTAATCATAAGATTCAGCAAAATTCCCACCCTTAAATAACAGACATCCACTCACTAAGACATGACTATTGTTGTTATTAACACAAGCCAGCCCAACAAAAAAGTGCATATGTAGACGCAGTGGTTTTGACTGAAGTATGTGATTGCTTTTAAATAGATTGCACAAGAAGCACTCAAACCATTTTGACAAAGGGTATAAATCGCATTTAGTTTGTTTAACATTTACAATTGGATCAAGGTAAAAACACGATAAAAACAGGATACCAGTGTTTGTGAACTGAAGAGTTTGTGTCCAGGCAACTATAGGCTCAAGAAATTGCTAGAGGTTAGCAAAATATTTGTGAAGTAATTGCAATTCAGCTCATGGATCAGGTTTTACTCCAAAGGACTTTTATATGACATGGCTCTTCACTATCAGCTGGCAACCTTAGACCGCCTCAGTGAATCTGTCCAAAACAGGCGAGATAAAAAGAGCATAAATGCGCGCACGGTTATGTAAAAAGTCAACCGAATGACTTTATGGCCTTTGATTGTTTCTGGTATGTAGTAAAACATGTTCCTGAGTCAGTGGAAGTAAGGTATCCGCACAGTCAAAGGTGGTGATTATATTTTTACTTACTTGATCTGTGCACCAGTACCAGGTGGCCTGAATTGTTAGTCCAAACACCAAGCCAGGCCATGGCAAGTCTCCGGTTATTGCATTCCTGAAAATGTGGAAGGAGTCTTGCCGAGGTAGGTAGCACTCTGTACTGATGTTATTGGTGACTGAGGGAATTGACTCCATGTAGCTATTCTGGAAACTTTCATAGCCTCCGACCTTATTGAAAGCTGAGGACAGATGAAGGTTAGACTGAGGCTCATTCTACTCTTTTTTTTTTGTGGGGCTTAGAACAAAGAGAGGATGCAAAATAAACTGAGAAATAAAGATAAATGATTATTACCAAATCCCATGAGAATGAAGGATCCAATCACCATAATGAAGGTCTGCAAGGTGTCTGTGTATATCACTGCAGCCAGTCCACCTGAAATAAAACATGATGTTAGCCATCTTTAAAGCGTTTTACTTAAAATCATAAAGATTAATATGTCTATACTACAGAGAATAAGGATTTCTTGTTTTCATGTGACCGCTATTTTATCTCTTATTTGATAAATGTTTTGTTTTTAGTGTGAGTGCATTATTACAAAGCAGTAAGTGAGGGCAGTTTAAAGCTTATCACTGTCCACGGGCAATTAACCACAAACACTCCACAGATAAACAGCTAAAAGAGGAGGGGTTTTCTCTTTATGTGTGTTTCTTGATCTCTGCTCTACGTGTGGCCTTGGAAGACCTTATCATTGCACATGCGTCATTTACATAGAGAACGCTTTTTTTTAGGCTGCTAATGAGGAAAATAATCTCTGAAAGAGTAGTGAATCTCCTCCTGAGGACTGACCTGTTACGGTGTATAAAGCTGTAATTGCCAGTAGCGCGATGACTGCGACATAGATATTCAGACCAAGAGCTTCCCTGATGAAAATGGCACCAGAGAACATGTCGGCCTGAGAGGAAATAGAAAGGCTGTTTGATTTTGATTCATTGCATCCATTGCTGAAAGGTAAAAGTTATATGCAACAAACTTACAGAGATCTTTGTAAAGACATATAAAAAGAGGGAGAGCACAGAGAGGTAGATGCGAATTCGCTGTCCTCCAAACCTCTTCCTCAGGTACTCGGGCATGGTGACAACCTAAGACGATTTAAATATACTTTTCCTTTTTCAAACACAAAAACTTTAAAATTCTTAATTTTCAATTTGAGTGTTATTTACCCCAGCTTTGATGTAGATTGGTACGAAGAGCCATCCTAGAATGACGACAACAATAAGAGCCTGGAACACAAAACAATGGCAAAAAGATGGAATTCATCCAGGAAATATTTAGTACAAAACTTATTACGCTTTTTCTTTGCAGTTTTCATAAAACCAAAAGTGGGGCTGTATAGTCACGAGTCGATATCTTCCATTTTTGTGAAACGGACAAAAAAAAATGGTACTTACATTCCATTCAAATCCACCAATGGCTATTCCAGCAGCTGCAGCAGTACCAGCAATCCCTACAAAGTGGCCGCTGCCTATGTTGCTTGCAAAGAGGGAAGCTCCAATCTGTAAAAAAAAAATTCTTTCATTTCCAAAGTTATGCCACAGCAGGTAACAAACGCCAGATCATTTGCTCAGCTGAAAAGCACAACATTTTATTTATAGGTTAGTATATTCAAACAATGTTTGGTTTAGGCCTCTTTTGCATGAAGTAGTACACCAATGTAGCCTGGCATGCAAAAAAAAAAAGCTGGTGGAACTGATTAGATGTTACTAAGAAATCCCATGTTGCTTTAAAATTGCTCCTAAGCTTGAATGAACCTCATAGATAACCTGAGGGGTTTGAGCCAGCCAAGATTGTTGGTAAATCAAATGTATAAACATCATAATAAATGATCGTAATTAAACCAGCTTCTGGTACCATTGGAAGTATTGCCAGGCAGACAGTATGGCTTGAAAATGAAATCAGCATCTCCATGTAGTTAAAATCAGGATAAGCCTGCATGTTTTGCTCTAAAATGTCCTGATGAAACAGATTTTTGGTTTGATAAAACAATGGAGCAACATGGGAAATGACAAGGCACCCGGAATTTCCACTGTCAACTCGGGGTGCCTTCCTCCAGACCCTGGATTTACAAGTGAAAGGTCCAGAATTTACTTTGGTTTCTTTAGGGGTCTAGGCACCTGATCAACAGTTCGGTCTCTTTTTCTCTCAGTTTAATGGCAAAACGTTATGTGTGGGAACATAAGGAATGCAAAGTTGTTAATATGCTCTGTTCAGCACTGCATATGGAAGCTCTTGCACCACTAACAGTAACTGCCGTACTGAATATGCTTTGCTTGTCAGTCTTCCCAGGCTGTTATTGCTACTGTTGCTTGTACATTTTTTTTCTGCCTCTCTTTTTCCTTCATGGAAATGTTCCTTTATATGTTTTGATGCACAAACAAATGCATGCAGATATCAGATTTTGGAAAAATTTTAGCAATACCCCTTTGTTGTTTGGCAATGCCTTGAGCATGTTGTTGGTGCTGTGCACTGGACAACTGTCAATGCAGCTGGCTTCCCCAAGATTGGGTAGAATATTTTTTGCCCATAACTTTAGTTATTGTTGAAAAAAAAAAATTTTTATTGATCTCATGATAATAATCTACCTTTTTTAAACAACAAAATGTCGGTCTTCTATTAGCTCTAAGACATTAAAGGAAACTGACAAATATGTGTAAAACATCTTTAATATATTTAATTGAATCACAGCATACATTAAATTTGTTGATTGTATTATAATAAAAAATAAACAAAATACACCTGATGATTGCTTATACGTGGGGAATCAGTGTGGTGTTAATAAGTTACTCGGTATAAGATAAGACTAGGGAATCACGTCATTTACAACAATGTTTAGTCATGTCACCTTCCCAGTAAAATATATTTTTTTCTATCTTTTCTAAATGTTTCTGTAAGGAAACATTTGATCCTCTTTACATTTTTTCTGAAGACTAAGTTGTTTACTCATCCTGTCACTTTGTAAATCTGTTCTTTCGGAGGCCTTAGTTAGCATTTACCATGCTTGGGCCTATGGAGTAAAATTTGCTCTTGTTTGTTGACAAGTTCAATTAGCACTGCAGGTTTTGGCTTTAACAATGTACATCTCTGCAACAGCTGTGGCCCACACATTATTTAGAAACTATTCCCAGATTGACTGTCTACAACAGTATCTTACTTAAGATCAATGTAAATGTTTTTTTCTTAAAAATTTGTCAAGACACACCTCAATGCTAAGGACACAAAAATGTCAGCGTTTTGAAGAATGTTTTAAGTTTCTGATGATCAATATGTCCAGGGAATCGGAATAATCTAATTTTAGCTGACTCTTACACCATCAGTTCAAATGTATATAAAAGAACTTACTTAATTTTCATAAAGAAATAGCAATAATTTTAAGGAACAAAACTATGCAATAAATTATTTTCTCTGACTTGTATATAACCAACCTTTCATTTCAAGTTGTTAAAAAATACATCAGAATCATTGCAGAACTAATTTTTTTCCCTAATTTTTTAGTAAGATACCCACCGGCCACCACACCATACTCCTCCCTGCAAGGAAGAAGCCACCCACAGTGGATCGATTGGTGCGGACCATAGCCTGCAACAATACAAGGATACATTTTAGCAAATAAATAAAAGTCAACAAAACATTACTAAGTCCTATGGCATTTCAACTCTATGTTAGTGGCCGTTTTTTGTTACTGTATATTCATCTGCAGAAATCCCAGGTATAGTACAATGTGTTTAATGCAAATGTTTTAAACAAATTCCCTAAACAGATGCCTGAACCAGTCAAAACAACAATAAAAATAGCATGGCTTTTGCTCTTTGTTCAGATTATTTGAACAGTTTACAATTCATGGTGGTGAATTAAAAAAGAATTGCAGGCTTTAAACAGGTAGAAAGTTTGCAGAACTTACCACAACACCCGTAGCCAGGACAACCAAAAAGTAAATAACAATAACAGAGATGTCTGCTGCATTGTTGAGAGCCACAGTGCCATTTACTTTTCTTAAGTAGCTGGGCGATCTGAAATAATCCCAAGCCATTATGCTCAGAGTTGGAGTGTACGACAGGTAGTCTGCAGGAGTCGGTCCACTGTGACTGAAAACATGCACAACACCTACCTTTATAGCTTCAGTGTTTGTGTGTTGGGCAGAAGGAGGGAGGGGTGGTGGGGTGGTCAATAGCATAGAGTAAAGGTAAGAGAGGGGTGATTGGAGGGGGGTTTATACAGAGTAAGAAATTTACTTGTATGCTAATTTGTTAGAAATATTAGTACAGCAGAAATGTTTAAACCTTCTGGAAAGCAAACTGTTAATCATCAATCTTTAAAGAAAGTAAAACCAGGGATGTTCCGGTAATCGTTTTTTCTTCCTGTTGTTACTTATTGGTGTTTTTTTTTATATAACACATCATACATGATAGGACCATATGCAGCAGTTGCTAACTTTACACGATTGTTTATTAACATATAGAATTAAAAATGAAGTAGGAATATGTGAACTGTGGCCTTTAAATCCACATAAGTAAGGACATAAAAACAATGAATTAAAATGTATGTGATACAATTTATAACAAGGGGGTATGTATAAAAATGTAAACACAAAAACACATAGTATATATATATATATGTATATAAATTTGTCTTTGGGGGAAAACAGCTAATTTGATGTTGGAATGGTATACTTCTACTAGCAAGAAAATTCTTACTTTGTCTTTATTTTAAGTTAAGATTTTGCCTGTTTAAACGAATGCAAAAATGAACTAATACATGGATATTAGAATATATAATAGCTGCTGTCTAAAGTTTCATAACAGCTTTTTTCATATCATGTCCACAATTTCAAAAATCTAGTTTATATAAAACATTTTTTTCCCCTTGACATGGGTTAATAATCTATGACAGCACTGCCAAATAAGATTGTGGTTATTTCTTGGCAGTATATAACAATTTAATAGTTCCTAACCTCACCTTCAACCCATTACATGAACATTAAATCTTCTTTATAATCATGTGTCTTTTATCTGTGTGTTAATAATTAGCTTGGAGAACCAAACAGAAGACTGAAGATCAAAAAGGAAAAGGATACAATCTTCACTGAACTGTGATGTATAATAAGGTGCTAAATATTCTTATATCTTTGGTTAAATTGAAACTTAACTTGGTTAAATGCTTCTGGGGTTTTTTTGTATTATGTGAATGTCGAAGGTGTACATACGATATGCTTCTTTTCATTTGTTCAGCTTTCTACATTTTTAGAATTAGAAAGAAAATGCAACTTTTCTTTGTAGGTTTAATAGAGACTTGCTGATCGTTGGGACATTTTGGAAGGTTTTGTATATATTGCAACAAACAGCTTATGTCTCTGCATGTGAAGTGAACGTACCCTGTGCAACTGCTATCTTAAGGCAGGTACATCTATGAATCTTTGATGTGACTCCTGTAAAAGGTTGTTAAATCCCATTAACAATCCGCCCTGAAAATGTCCTCTTTTTTAAAATGTGCTTGGTTTTGTTCCCTTATTACAAAAGCTGCATTGCTTTTAACATAACATGGATACAAATATTTATTCTCCATAAAAATAACAAATATTATTTCTGAGTAAGCTTCCCACTTCTCAGTTTTTTTTTTTCTCTGTTAATCTTTGAGGAAGTTAATCATCAACCAAAGTACATTTTGTGCTACCTTCTAAGTTTTTTTTTATTTTTTAGCAAAATCATAAGATAACAGTATATTGTTACTCCATGTAAACCTGTGAGAAAATAAAAAAAAATGAAAATGGATTTCTATTCTGATTTCTCTTTAAACCAAATGCTTATAAACCAGATGGCTATCAGGAAAGAGACTTGGCCCATCCTCCTTGATATTGGTGGTGAGAATGCAGCCCATTACTGTCGGTGTAGACAGGGCTAAATGTGACTTACAACAGTCTGTTGGTGGCTGAATGACTTGTATAGTATAAAGCACTTTGGAGTCAACTCAACTAATTAACCACTGTATAAGAACAGGTAATTTACTATATTTTTCTTTCAGTTTTTCCAATAGTATTGCTAAAAAAAAAAAAAACACCAGCCTTTTACACATCGGCTATCCATGTTTGAAAGATAATTTCAATACTTTATTTCAATATTCATTCCAATACTTACTGTGTGGCTGCCAGAGAATGGAATCAAAATCTGGTTCTTGTTGAGAACTGATTTCCCGTATTGCAATTTCTTGGCATTATATGCCATTTATGCAAATTATTCCTTTATCAATTTCACATGGTGAGACTGGTGTCACCACAAATTTTGCACAGCCTATGCAAGCTATGCAATATACCAGTGCAACCAGCAGGAAACATGGCACCTAAGTGACACAAACCCTAATGTAACCCAATGTGGTTACATTGTATAAGAAAGAACAACATCAGGGCAATTTGTGGATACAACCATGTTACTTCTAAACTTATAAATAAATATCTTGTTAAAAAATAAGATGTATAAAAACTCAATGCTAATCAATTTGTTTTCCAAATTAAGAGGATTGGTAACAGAATGAAATAATTAAACAGACTAGAAATAGGAATCGGAATATCAAATATATTATCAAGGTTATAGTGGAGGATGTTCTTTTTCTGGGTGGATCATCAAAATAGATGGTCCTCCTAATTGTTGACCATTCTGGTGATATGTTTATGTATACTGTCCTACAAGCTCGTCCCTCATCATTTTCTATGCATGCACTCTTTCAGGTGTATATCCGTTGTGAGGTTATGGATCTGAGCTACGGTTTCAGCCATTCAATAAAACTCGCCTTTTCCACCACGGTAGAAAAATTGCTAATTTTCTTTTAAAAAGTAAGCTTGTATGAGTGATGCAAACAGCACTGAACATGCACGAGGAGAAATGGGCTTGTGCATGCTCTTGCACACAATCAATAGGTGTAATTTTAAAAAATTGGGAAAAATTCTCCCCTATACCTTCAATGGCTGCAAAGTGATGCACCTGTTGGTAGCACTCTGCCTTACAGCAAGAAGGTGATTCAACCAAAGAACTTTCTGAGTTTAGTTTGCTTTTCCTGTTCATGCCTGGGTTCACTCTGGTTACTCTGCCCGCCTTCCACTGTCCCAAAATATGTTCTTCAAACAGCCCTTCTAGATATAAGTTATGTTTGTATCTGGGCACTGTGTGGTTGTTTGTGCTGTGTGGCAATGTATTCTAATGGCACAAGGTCTCCTGCAACCCTGCCTTGACAACAGATAAATTAAATTTATCTCTCAAGTATTCAATCAATATGTTTCTTGAAACAATTTAGCCACACAGTACTGAGACAAAAAAGACAAAAAGGATATCATACGATTTACATATGTTGTTTTAATTCTGGCCTGAGTAAAAATAAAAAAAACATAATCAAAAAAAAAAAAAAAACTTCTCCTAAACAAGTGAAGATAATAGAAATGCAACAGTTACTGTAGCTGCATTCTAATAAAAATCGGTTTATACTGTTAATTTGAATATATTCAAAATTTTAATATATGTGTTATGTTTATCATGACAACAGCAATAAAATAAAAATAAAAATATAAAAGGAACCAAAATCTTTTGTCTATGCATAAAACCTTGTGGCAGTCAGAGGCCTCCAAACACAAATTCAATATCAGCCTGAAAATAAAAACAACTGTTTTTATTGCAACACTTCTACACCAGTTCCATTCAGTAGTGCAATTTTACTGTTAAACAGAACACATTTTTCTTTTTTTTTATGCAATCATAATTTCAGAATCAGTGTTACTCTGATGGGATAAACAGGTGAAAACAATAGTACAGCAGAAAAAGTAGCCATACAAACCCTGTCATCAGTTTTAGGCTTTGTGTCCTTCAAAACTTCAATATTGTTATCAGGGCACTTGTGAGAACAGCAGTAAATTAATAAGCCATCCTTTTTTTATACCCCCATTAACAGTATCTTGATCATACCTCTATGCAGCTATTAAAGGATGCGGAAAAACTTTGTCAGGAAAACTTATTTGTCACATTTTATCAACAAGGATGGATGATTGCACATTTATAATGTGTAAAGCAGGACAGGTCCTGAGTAAACAATTAACAGTAAATTATATTTTAATGAGTCTAATGTAATATTTTCTTTAATAATATCTATCATTTTGTTTTGTTTTTGCACAACTGAATTGGTGTTTACTCAGTTAGCAGTAAGATATAGATAGGTTCATTTCAAGTAAGCCAGTATAGATTTATAAAGAGTTTAGAAATATAATATGATTTCTCTGTAGACTTCCAATGCCTATCAGGTCAAAGCATGCCATGACAAAAACTAAAAACCTCTTTAACCCAAAGGCAGGATAGAATTCATCCTTTATAGCAAAACTACAAGTCTTTCCATCTGATCACAGAGGGCTTCGTGTAAGCAACAGGCACTGTTATGCATCAGCTTTTATCTGGGAACCAAAGCTTCCTTTTAACAATGTATGAATAAAAAAAAAGCATATTGCACAGCTGTTTGAAAAGACAACAAAACACCAACATGCTTAAAATAAAGGTAGACGATTATCATAAACCTCGCCTCTCGCCCATTGACAGCTGAAGATAGGCACCAGCTCCCCTCGCGACCCCATAGGAATAAGCATGACTAAAAATGGATGGATGGAAATATCATTAAATTAATGGCAATGTCTTAATTATATTTACAAAGAGGGAAAAAATAGCATATTTGGATGGCAGAATGTGTCTCTTAAAACGCCTTTATGTTTAAATGACTCACAATAAATTTTGCTTGATTTTGCACATTCCTTCTTTGATTTTTTAAATAATAAGCTTTCTTTGAAATTATGCAATAAAGTGTCATATAGAGACATCTTGTGGTCAATCTGAAGAAAGTTCTTTTGTGAATATTTTTCTGAAATAAAATAGTTAATATTATTATATAATATGTAAAATAGTTTCAGAAACAAATCTTTAAGCATAAAACACCAAGGATGCAACCTGTTTACTTTAGTTATATAGTCCCTCCTGTGTTTTTTGGGTCTGGGTTCTCACTTCAGTGGGACTTTAGAGGGGGGACATGAACTTCCTCTACTGTTCCCATTTGATTTAACCTCCCATTGGCAACCAAACCCCTCACCCAATGTCTATGAAGGAGCCTAGTCTGGGGGGGGGTGCTCATTTTAGTTCCCTGTACACCGACTCACATTCTGTTTGTAGTGATGTTTATTTATGACCAAGTTAGAGCTTTAACTTTCAGGCTCAGTGTTTTCTCTGCAGCAACAGGCAGGAGCTAATTATTAATGCAATTCCATCCATCCACCCATCCACCCATCCACCCATCCACCCATCCATCCATCCATCCATCCATCCATCATCACAGCAGACACCACACCAATCGGCCTGTCGATCTCTAACTCCATCTTCCGCAGGAGTTTAAGCTGTTGTGAATCTATTTCAATTTTAAATTAACCCTGTCTGTTGTTCAAACACACAGCCTTTTTTTTTCCCCATGCAAAATATGACAGACTGAAATTTATTTTAATTAATATCAAATAACTCAAATGCCTTTAGGATTAGAACAGTCAACATGACTATTTGCAGCACATTTTTGCAATCTAAGTAATTTAGGATTAGTAGAAGCAAACATGATAGATTGTTTTAATTTTTTCACAGCGGTAAATACAAAGTTAGCCTATTGCATTTTTCAAAATGTATTACAAATTGAAAACAGCTGATTAGTTTGATTATGAGCAGTATTGTATTTTTATTATTTTTTTTTTTGTATTATTGGCTGTTAACAATATAAACTACTTAGAATAGCTTGACTTGAAAGTGTGGAATGCAGCCTTGCCCACCGGTAAATAAAATCATATTATAATTATGTTTGGCCTTTTTGAAAAAAAAAAAAAAAAGTAACTCTAAGCTTTACATGAAAAGACTGTTGGTTAATCCTGATATGTCAAAATTAGCACAGCAAACATTGTTGTACGTAATTTATGATCCTTTTATTACATATAAAGTGATTTTCAGCTGCCAGAGATTGGAAAGACATGATAAAATACAACTTCCCACAGGAAAAGGAACACTATCAATGCATAAAAGCAAAAAATTTAATGACCGGATGTGTGCTAGTATCATTGACATGAGGGAACAAAAACCAAAGCTTATTATTTCCAAAAAAAACAAAAAAACAATACCATTTATCCAAGTATTTATAGCAACAATTCTTAAAAAAAAAAAAATCACAATTGAAAGAAGCACCTCTGTGTGTCACCATAAATCTAATTCATGAATCAATATGTTGTTACTGTGAATTTGATCAATTTCAATCTGTCGTTTATATCAAATAAAGTGGAGCTAACCGGAAGCTATATTTCTGAGATGTGCAACAAAAGAAAATGGAAATGTCTTATTTCATTGAGAAACCTTTACACAGGTAAACTGTGATGTCAGGAGGTTGATGATTCATCTTTTTGATGAGATAAGTTTGTATGTCATAGCATATTGTACTTGTTAGCTCCTGCAACCAGAATTTACCAAATACTGTTTTCATTGGTTGTTTTATTTCTCAATGTTCCTTTTTGTGCTTGGTCCATTTTAATACTTTGTTTATTTGTCTTTCATGCCAGGAAGCTTACCCATCCATTGACAATAAAGACTTTGAATAACAATACCAATATAATTCTATTTTATTCTTTTCTTTTCTGTTCTACTCTATTTTAGTGTACTCTATTCTATTCTACTCAAATCAAATATCTTGAAAGTAAAAGGCTCTGAAAGAAACACGCTTTAAAATTGCATAAAACAGGAAAAAATACTGGGTAACAAGCAAAGCAAATGACAGCGTGTACTCATTTGTATGTATATTTAACCCTCTGAGTCAACAAAAAGACCTTTTATATGAATAATTAATGCTAAATTTGTCTAACCATAGTATCCATGAAAGAACACAGCAACACATAATAGAATGACGGCGTTAATATTAACGATATTCCTCCAAAATGGGTCTTCTGTTGTATCAGTGAGCTTCTTTTTAAGTGCTGCTTGCTCCTCTGGAGTCAGTTTTATGGCTTTTTTCCGCTCCAGTCCGCAAAAACACATGATGGCTTTTTTGCAGAGGCCAGGTTCCTCCTCAGGTTCTGTACGACATTAAAAAAAAGGCTTTTTTTTAACTGGACAAAAAAGTCAAAACACATCTATGGTACCTTAATTATCTAAGTTGGAGTACTTTAACAGGTATTTTGTAGTTTTTATCATTTTGAATAGTTTTGTATTTAGACCATCCAATAAATGTGTCATTTTACAGCTATTATGACTGATATATAAAATATGTGTAAATGCTTTTTACCATCTTCGTTTTCTTCATCCTCCTCATCATTAATCCAGTCGTCTGGTTCAATGTCTTCTCTTTCCTCCGTACTGTCCCTCAGGCTCCAACATAATCGATACAGCTGGTAAATAAAGATAGCGAAAATATTTTCAATTTAAAAATAAAATGTTTGTCTATCAAAGAGAATTGTATAAACTGATATTTCAATTCAAAATATGACTTCATTGTGGTTAATCTCATGTACAGTTTGCAAACATGTGTTTCTTTAGAGCACAGGTGTCAAGCCCCAGTCCTCAAGTTCCGGTTTCCCGCAACTTTTAGACGTGTCTCTCTGATTTAACACACTTGGGTCAAATAATCAGGTCACTATAAGGACTTTTTCTGTACATCAGGCTTCTGAAATTACTGTTGTCAAGGTCCGATGTCCTGTTCCTCTTAGCTGTGTCTGTGCTCCTACATCTGAAACAAATGGCTAAATTACGGTACTGCCTCCACAGTCCTTCCAGTTACCTGACTGTTTGACTCAGGTTTTATGGGACAAAGTCACGCCTGAAAGGTGCAGGATCTCAATCCTTCAGAGACAAAATTTAGGAACCCTGCTGTACACCTTAACAATGCCAATTCACCAATTTTTTTATGTATAGAGAAACAACCTTAAAAATCAAATAAAAGGCTAACAAAGATCATTGACTACACTGAATTTTATGAATACAAATAGTGAAATGTACAATACGATATATGAGACTGTTTTATTAGAACAAAATATTATTTTGTGTTGTCATACAGGCATGTCAGGAGCAGCCATATAAGGGTTGAGGATATTAGGTACTTAGATCAATCTACCGTATATGAATTTAAACAAAAAAAAAATGTCAGAAACAACACAACCTCATGATGAGTTATTAGTCAAATGAACAATTTATGGGAATTTTCTTAGTGTTATAGCTGGAATTTGTGATGATGCATTAATAATTGTCCTGCTGGATAGAACCAAATGGAAAAATTATTTTATTTTGATCCCACTAAAGATATATACCTTATCTTTGTGTGAAGAATCCTAAATGTAGTCTCTCAGTTCAATTATGTTGGGTACAGAGCTGACCTCTAGTCAAAAGTTACTTATTTTGGTATGTAAAAATAAATCTAATTTTATTGTACAGCTGTCACTTACATGCTTGTCCGGAATGGGTTTGGTCAACAGAGACACTCCGATTATGACTATACAGGACACAGTAAAGAGGATCATCCCGAAGTACAGGTAGTGTACGCCGCATATAATTGTGGGACAGTTGCTTGGACTGACACAGTTTCCTGTGCCATAGATGAACTCCGTAATCATCCTGGATAGTCCTATTACCAGGCCAACGGTAAGTCCATAAAAGGCACCCTGAATAACAGAGAAGGAAATTATTGTGCTTTTAAATGAATCATCCTCCAAAACTTCAGAAAAAAATAAGTTAAATATTTTTTTAAATGTTATGCAACCCCTAATAAAGTGCAAAACATCTCTTTGTAAAGATATAAAATCTTATTGTATCCTCTTTGACTAATCAATCAATCAATTGTCATCTACAATTTAAATTGTAATCAAGATTTCAGTTTCAGTAATGGACAACTTGTTGACAATCAAAAGCTTTAATTAAACTTAAACAAAAACTCACAGGCTCGTTGACACGTTTGTAAAAAAGGGCAAGAAAAAAGACAGCTGCAATGGGTGGAGCCAGATAGCTGATGATCGACTGGATGTAGTCAAACAGCTGTCCACTCTGGGCTGACTGCACCATAGGAATCCAGGCAATGCTTATAGCAATTAATATGAGGATAAACACCCTGTAAAGTTCAAAACAACCATGCAGTTACTATAAAAGTCAAAAGAGGAACAATACAAATATAGAAAAAAAAAAGCTTAAACTACCTGCCAGCGATCATCAGTTCCCTCTCTTTGGCAGTGGGTCGAACCTTAGTGTAGATGTCCATGGTGAAAAGAGTGCTAGCACTGTTGAATATTGAGGTAAGGGAGCTCATTAAAGAGGCCAGCATCACCGACAGCATCAAACCCCTCAAACCTAAAAGAGAGTTGTTGAGTAAGAGCAGCGGAAATTGGAAGAAGTCAAAATGTGCATTTAGAATTTAAAATAATGGTATTAATCAACAAACCATTGGGCATGAGGTCCACCACCATTTTGGGATAGGCAATGTTGGTGCATCCAACACTAGTCCCACAGTACTTTTTACATTCATCTGGGTCCACACATGCCACTATGTCTGTAATTAATATCACATAGATAATACTGCTTTATTATCTTTGAATATATTTTCTTGTATTTTAAATAGTACTTGTCAGTTAGGATTACGGCTGGTATTCGAGGATTCACCTGATTAGAAAAGTTACTTATGCTGCTGTTTTTGATTTCAAATAAAAAATTGAGTTTTAATACTCTAGCACTGCAAAGCTCATATACTTATTTCTGATCATAAACTAAGTTGTGATAAATGTTTATCTTTCCCTTAGAGCTCCTAGGAGATGGAATGATCTCTGCCTAGTACAGGAGGTGACCAAGTAACCTAATTTGGTGATTTACTGTGGCATTTGAGTTGAAGCTGTGTCTATTCTGCAACAGGGATGCATATGAATATCCTCACCCCAAATCTAATAGAACTTGAAATGAAAAAATCAAAATTTGGCAACCTGATGTGTCTGTTATTCATGCTACAGTGTCAAATTATTAGTGTAATGACAAAGGAATGTTATTCTTCAGGACCCACTATCCTGTTTGTTTTCCATGTGTTTCTGCTCCAGCACAACTGCATCAACTGATTGCAGTGCCTCCCCTACAGCCTTCAAGGACTGCATCAGCCTGTTAATCACCCAATTATTTAAGTCAGGTGTGTGGAGCAGGCAAACATCTATCAAGAGCTACCATCCCTTAACTTTTAGAGGCATCTGTTCTCTAATATACCTGAATCGAAAGACACAATCCCCTCGTTTAGTCCACCAGGGGCACGTTAACAAGCCACTTCAGGTGTGTTAAAAATGGGGTGCATCAAAAAGTTGCAAGATAGTACAGTAGCTCTTGAGGACTGGACTTTAGCACTGCTGTTCTAAAACGTGCAGGACTGTGGTACTGTACTGAGTTGATGCAGGTGTGCCAGAAACACACATAAAACCTACAGGATAGTGGCTCCTGAGGAGCAGGGTTGGAAACCACTGTCCTGTACTACTTGTATTTTAAAAACATTGAAGAAACACACAGATGCTAAATAGTCAGAAAAGGGTACAAAACAATTTAGGTACCTGGATAGAGGATCCTACTTATCATCCCAGGAAGAACCATAAGAAACATGGGCAGTATCTTCAGGTACCCGCATAAGATGCAACCTGCTTTAACATGAGAGAGATTCTTGGCTGATAGGCAGCGCTGCACAATCACCTACAAAAAAATGTGAATAAAACAATCAGATTTCCACACAGAAATTCATTGGTGCTAAACATACTGACACATCAATTCAGCACAGGATAAAACAGGTGATTTGTATGCTGTCGTAAGATGCAGCCAAAATTGTAAAGTCAAATAGGTGTGGTCATACTCAGCTTTACACATATTTGGCTGAGCATGGCTTTAGCTGTTATGTTGGTTTTCTAAGAATTAGATTTTTTGCTTCAAAGATAAATACAAAGCAGCTTTCCAGTGTCTGCATCAAATTGTGTTAAGTAATGTACTTCTCATATTATGCATACTTTTAAGGACTATTCATTGGCTTCAGGTCTGTTTTTGCGAATATGACCTCTTCTTTGTTGTATATACAGTTCCAGTATATCCAAGTTATCAAGTAATACTACTTTATTTTAATTCTCATGACCCCATGAGTGAGTTGAAAATATACTGAAATTTATCAGAGCAGAAACAGTGGGTCAATTTATCCTGTAGTAACTATATTACAATGCTTAACCTAAAAACAAGCTTACATGATTTTTGTGAGTTTGTCACGAAATTGTATCAGGTAGAAATTGTTACAAACTTGACTAAACTAGTTATGAGCACTGATTACATCTATCTTTTAACAACATCATCAAAGTAAAATAAAATGTAAATATGTACATGTATATGTATGAAGTGGAGATTCTATGTGCAGGCGCCTTTCAGATTTTTAATTCCTAAATCATTTTGAATTGCAGTTCAGTTCACAGTTCATGATCTAATTCCAAGGTATATTTCAAAATCGCCTTAATGATTCTACCCAAAAGTTGGCAAGATGAAACTGTTATGTAATAGTCATCTCAATGAGTTTATGGTATTTGATTGCTTCTGTTATGTTGTTAAGCCTGTTACTAAGTCACCGGAGAAAACATCTCTACACAGCAAGAGAAGATGATCATCTTTCTTACCAACCTGATCAGTGCACCAGAACCACGTGGCCTGGATTGTGAGTCCAAACACCAGGCCAGGCCATGGCATGTCTCCAGTTATTGGATCTCTAAAAAGATGGAAGGAGTCTTTCCGAGGCGTGTAGCACTCTGCGCTGATATTCCCAGTGACTGAAGGGATCGCAGTCCAGTAAAGTTCCTGGAACCTTTCATAGCCGCCCACTTCATTAAAAGCTGAGGGTAGTTGGAGAATCAAAAGGTTTACTCTTTCAGTCCTCAATAGTGTTATATAACTGATTACTAATAACATGCAAAAATGATAAACAATAATAACAGCATATTACCAAAACCCATGAGAACAAAGGATCCAGTAACCATTATGACTGTCTGTAAAGTGTCTGTGTATATCACTGCCGCCAGTCCACCTAGAAAAAGGAATAGAAATTTCATTCAGAATCAAATGGGGAAATATGCTCAATAAAGATGTGTTATTATGTTCTTATATAACTTTTATTACTTACTTTTGCTAATTGCTAAACATACAGTAAACTGCCCTAGATATGGCCTTGAGAGAGGCACGGCCTGTATTACTATGATAAGGCGTCTTCCTTGTAGTTTATAAGGAAAAAATTTATAACTGTAAAAGAGGATTTCCTTCTTATGACAGACCTGTGACAGTATACAATGCAGTGACTGCCAAAAGAGCAATAACGGCAACATAGATGTTCCACCCAAGAGCCTGTTGGATGAAAATGGCGCCGGAGAAAATGTCGGCCTGAAATCGGACAAAAAACAAGATTGTAAGTGAAATGGCTTTGTCTTTCTGCAGAAAGTTTTTTTTTAAAGCAGTCACATAAACTTACAGAGATCTGAGTGAAGGCATAGAGGAGGAGGGACAACACAGAGTGATAGATGCGAATACGCTGTCCTCCAAACCTCTTCTTCAGATACTCAGGCATGGTTATAACCTAAACAAACATCATGATAAGACTTTGTTTTTTTTTTATAATTGTGAAATCTAGAAAAATGTGTTGTCTGTGTTTTGTTATTTACCCCTGCCTTTATGTAGATTGGTACAAAGACCCATCCCAAAACAACAACAAGAATTAGTGCCTGAAACACACAAAACAATTTTTTTATATTCTGTGAATCAAATCTAATGAAAGGCTATTAGCATACCTCACAGAGATAACATGAGTTTCTTAATGACATCCTAAAACAATTACTCACATTCCATTCAAACCCAGCAATAGCTATCCCAGAAGCTGCAGCAGTTCCAGCAAGCCCTACAAAGTGGACGCTGCCAATGTTGCTGGCAAACAGGGACGCTCCAATCTATTAACAGTTTAGAAAAATGTTAGAAGGCAATGAAAATGACAATTTTCTTTAACACTGAAGACTCTGTGTTGTATAGGTGATTTTCACATATTTTTGATAAGTTCTGCCCTCTCCCCTTTAAAAAAATGTACATGCACAACCTTGTACCCGATCCTGAGAGGGAATGCCTATTAAACACGTGTGAGATCATGCACAAACCCATTTCTCCTCATGAATGCTCTGTTTCCTGTTTCCATCGCTTATTCAAGCTTAGTTTCCAAAAGAATTGCAATTTTTCCACTATGTCAGACTCCCCATAGGTAAGTGAAAATGGGGACGAGCACTTAGGACAGCTTTATGTAAAGCCAGAATAATTGACAATTAGGAGGACCACCCGGAAAAAGAACATCATCCAGTACTGTACACCCTTAAGAATATTCTTGTTACTGACAAGTATAATGACGTTACCTTCCTACTGATTTGAACTATTTTAATTCCAAAGAAAGGAAATATTACGTGTTCTTATGGCCTCTTTTAACGAGTTGTCTTTTAGTTTAACAAAGACATGATTATTAATCACAAGAAACTTGACTGTCATGAGTAGCTGTTCTTAATATGGGTTATATGGCTTTCCATCCAACAAACCAACCAGGATGCCAAAACACTTCCGAATAGATATTTGCATGTCCAATCAATGGCAACAGTGCTGGACAGACGGAGGGTTGGACAGTTGCAAGGTCACCTTAAAAGCTGTTTTTATTTTACTTGCAGGCAAGATGTATAGTGGCAAGATTTTCATATTCACAAACTAATAAAATTATAATTATATGCTCACCGTTAATTAATATGTTATAAACAATTCTGAATGAGTTTATGGATTAATTATCAACACATGTATATCTTATTAATAAGCCATCTATAAGGGGAGCCTCCAGTTGCTAAAACAATAAGCACAAAAAAAAAACAGCATCTGCTTGCCATCAATGTTGGTAGAAGTAAATGTGAGAATTGTTTTCAATGTAATATACATTATACAGTAGCGTTAAACATTAGCAACAAGAATGGCATCATCACCACAGAGTTTCTGAGACCAAACTGGTTATATTGGAAAACTATCTGATAAGCAAGACAAACAACGTAAAGAAAAAATTNCTATCTATCTATCTATCTATCTATCTATCTATCTATCTATCTATCTATCTATCTATCTATCTATCTATCTATCTATCTATCTAAAATCTGGCTTTGGATAAAAAAGTCTTTATATAATAATGTAAAAATCTCTTAGATACAAATCAGCCAGCATATGAAGAGTTGGGTTTTGTCCTCAATTATACAGGAAATGTATTTACAGAAATATCTACAAGGCCAATAATTTAATAAAGAAATCAACTGAATTTGTCTTCCTCACCTTTTTGACAAATGATTTTTTCTACCCATTGGCCCTAATCTTACATAGTCCTTTATGCCTTATTTTCACTATATTTACCTTTAATTTGCAAAAATGCCCACTTTTCCATTTTCCAACAGTGATACACAAAATAATTTGAAAACAACTTTCTTTCTGCCTCCTCTGTTAGAGGAACATGGAGTCTACAGCTCAAACAAAGGTAAAGTCAACAAGGAATCACTACAGGGAAGGGCACTGAGCCTACTAATCAATAATCTAATGACAACACACATAAAAGGAAGAAATATAGTCAAGCATTTATGACTAGAAATACTATTTCAATCACTTGTAGTTATTAGATATGAGAATCTGAAATTGAAATTCAATACAAAATCATCGTTAATCATTCATTAATCATTTATCCCAAAGGAAATCTGATGTACAGTAGATGTCTATTCTCTACAGCAATGTCTCATAGATTGCTGGGGAGTAAGTTTTGTTGCAATATGATCCCCATTTTCACTTTATTAAAATTTGTGAGACAATGATTATGCCTGATTTAGTCACCCTGGAAGAGTGAAAGGCTGAAAATCCTTGTCTTCAAATCAAATAGATAACAGCCAATTCACCAGAGACTTCCTAGAGTGATGAGTGCAGAATAACTATTAGAGTTTAATCAGTTAAATGAGTATGAGCTCCAAGTTTACCCTCTCTTTTGCCCAGTTGTAATAATGATCATTTCAGCTAAACATTAAAAGTCTTAACAGATGATCAGACATGCCTTCAAAGAAAAAAAAATGTTTTTCCGTAACCTACAGTAACTGCATTTACAAAAGGTAAAATTACTTTAAAGGCTGCAATGTAAATTAAGATCTGTTTTGGTAAAAGTAAAGACTCAATCTATAGAATGATGCACCAACTCTAGGTAGCAGCTTCAAAATATATTTTGCCCTGTTTGGGGTTAATGCTACAGTATGATAGCCATGGACTTCCCCCTGGTGTTTCCCCTTTAATAAAGTGTTTTGTATAAATGCATATTGTAACTTCAGGCGTCTGAAAGTTGTTCACATGGATGAGTCAGGTTAATGAGGGTCCACAGCTTTCCTTCTGTTTATTTTTCCTTATTTCATAGCTCTCTCTATAATGCACATTAAGAGACAGTGTGTTTGAGGAGCTAACTTAATACACATCCAAAGGTGTGTCTGAATCTAACTTCATATTTTGCATGAGTCTCTCAGAAGTTTACAAACCATATCATCATCCTCTTGGCTTTTCTAGCTTATTGAAAAACCGTTTCAAACAGATTATTAGGGATAAATCATAAGAGTTTGCAAGGTAGTTAATCCTATTAACCCTAGAATCGAGAGAAAAAAAAAGAGTAATCTGATTTAATATCTGATATTGAAAATCATGTATGTAAATATCTACTTTCAGCTGTAAATATATAGAGTCAGAGTGAGGTGCAATTTTGGACAAGAGCTGATTGTTTTATGCAGGTTAGATAGATACCCACCGGCAACCATACCATACTCCTTCCTGCAAGGAAAAATCCACCCACCGTGGCTCGGTTGGTGCGGACCATAGCCTACATTAGGACAAGGGCACATGTCAAGAAAACAAAAACATTGCTAAATATTCCCCAGATCTTCTCATCCATTACTTTGTGGGCAAATTTTTGCGAATCATTCTGCTGACGGATTGACAGTAAATAGTAAAAGAAAAAGATAAAAAAAAATTTCTTGCAGCTTCTAAAAAACTGCTTTAGATTTGTAGACAGTGAGTACAATACATTAGTAGACCTATGCATGCCTGATTCCTGTTCTGCTGTGAGATTTATCTGCCTTTTTCTTTGAAGAGAAATCAGTTCAATTAAATTTCATAAAGCAATGTATGATTGTAAAAAAAACAAAAAACAACCCAAAAAATCTCTAAAAAATGTTTGCAAAACTTACCCCTAATCCCACAGCCAGGACAACCAAAAAGTAAATAACAATAACAGATATGTCTGCTGGATTGTTAATTGCAATTTTATCAGTTCCATTTCTTGCATTTCTTGTGATGCTGTTAAATCCAAAATAATCCCAGGTCATTTTTCCAGGAGTTGGAAGATCAAGAAAGGATGATGCTGCGTGCTGGAGTCAATTCACTATGACTACAATAAAAGCGCAACACCTCTCTATCTTTATTATTTGCATGTGTGACAGAACATGATAGAGGGAGGGACGGTCATGTTGTGTGCGTGTTATACGCGTGTTATTCTGCTGTAATAAAGTTTGTGTCCAGATCATTGTCATCACTGCTACCACCACTAAAACAAACAAAAGAATGAAAACAATATGGATATCCATCAGTCTACAATAACAGCCACTGTTGCCCTCTCCAGCTGCAGGATTTGTTAGCACTTTTTATTTTTTTAACCCTTAAACATTTTTCATTCATTGTAGGAAACATATTCTATCAGTGATGGGTATTTATATAAAACAAGGCTTTATTTGTTCTATATTATTAGTAGTTAAGGGGGCAGAGTAGTTAAAGGGGCAGAGTATACTACTGCTTCCCAATAAACAAATTTGCAAACACAATATTTTATATTTGGATTTTAGGGAAACAGTATCAGTATCCATATTATTGTTCATTAGCTTTACTAATCTTAGTTCCTGTATGTCCCGGAAAACCTATGCTTAAAATGGCAGTCTCACAGAGATAAAAAAAAATGCTTATATCAGTAGAGTTTTAATCTGAACATTGCCTAAAAGGATTTTCATGTAGGTATAAAACAGGTAAATAGCTCTTAACCCTGACTTCACCCTATTACAATGACATTTAATGCTCTTGATAATGATTTATTTTTAGCTAGATGTTAATAATTAGCTTTTGGTATGATTGGGGTAGGGTCGTAAAAAAGATGCAAGTCATTTACAGCTCCTAATCCATGTGATATAATCATAAGATGCTTACAAAATTACACTCTGCAGAAACTGAATCATTCATTCAGCAATACATGGGGTATACATTTTCTGCAGAACCAACCTATTTTGCATTAGGTGAAAACAGCGGACCATGACAAATCAATCCGAAAATTTCTCCACCGGTTTTCATAACTGGTTGTTGTTGAGGACCCAAATGCAGGATGGAGACAGATGGATTTATTACAATGAAAATCAGAATTCAACACAAAATGCTCAGAAGAAGAGACACAGATAAAGTTGTACAGCTACAAAAACAGCTGACTGAGAGCAACGTAGATAATTGTTGGAGAGG